CACTAAGGCTTGATCGTGAACACTAGGGATTGAGCATTCAGATACCTGAAAACCGAACTGATGGTTGGTTTTGACTGGTCATATGGCTTTTGTTCCCTTACTGAATGACTGTTTGTTTGTTTGCATTATTGTAGCTCCCAGGAGTCCTGATCAAAAAGCAGGGTCTTTTTGTGATTGGCCTTGTACAAACAAGTAATAAGACACTCCCTGCCTCTGTGAAATCATGATATCGGTATAACTCCTTTAATCCAGAGTAAGGCTTAAAGTAACTGGGCCTTTGAATCTCTCAGGAACAGGGAGCAGTTTAGGGAGAGATTGTACAAAAACTGGATTAGAGAATTTTAGAAAATGTTAAACTTTCCTTTCTGGGCTACACACACATTATTAGTATTATTTATTTAATTTTATATTATGTTAGCACTCAGAGGTCTTTATTGGGATTGGTAGTCTTTTGTGCTAGACAATACAATTGACCCCTGCCATGAAGAGTTTATAATCCGTGAAGAACAGCAACATATAGAAGGGGGCTGATAGATTGTCTATCAATCTAATTTATCTATCTATACAGTCACATCCATTTGCTTTTTTGTAAAATATTAATGTTCCTCAACTAACTCTCAGCCTCGCTGGTTGATTTATTGTGTTATGGCAGAAGTGGATCCTTAAGAGATTTGAAATAGGAGAGGGTAGTAGCCTTGGCTTTTATTAATATAAGATGTACTGGCCGGGGGCAGAGTTTACGTTTAGTTTTGTCTCATATTCATACAAAATAACTGTAAACCTTTGTTCAAGGACTCCTGCAAAAGGATTAGGGAACCTTGCAAGTCTGTGGTATCAAACAATATCTGGTGTGAATGGTCAGGTGTAAAATTCACTTTCCATGATCACTTTTGCGAGTAAAACTGAAATCCTCAAGTGTCTGCATAAGCCAAGCACACAAAGGGCTCCAACACAGCTAAAACAAATTAATGGTTAAATGTTTATGATTGTGTATTTGTATTACAGTGCCACCCAAAGGCCCCAGTCAGGATCAAGGCCCCATTATGCTAGGTGCTGTATAAGCATATAGTAAGAAAGTCCTAGCCCCAAAGAGTTTATAACCTAACTTAAGACAAGAAAAAACAAACGGCGGGGCTGGGGGAAAAGAATGAGGGTGAACCTGATAGGAACACACAATTTCACAGATTTGCTATGTGCATTAGCAAGTTTCGAGTAAAAAAAAAAAGGTTTGATATTTAAAAAAAAAAAAACCTCAGATATATGATATCCATAATCCTTATGGGGCATCTACCTAGCCAACTACACATGGACAGATGTGTGGTATGCACCTAGCTTTAATATTAGGATCTTACTCTTATTCACACTAAGGGCCATTTACACCATGCTGGCAATGTAAAGCCTTAAAGTGGGAATTGCATACACAGCAGGGGAATCGGGGGATTAGGCCCTAATACTAGAGCTAGGCACACACCACAAAAATCTGCCAAATGTATTTAGCTAGGCAGGTGCTCAGTAAGGATTACTGATATTGTATTTCTTGTTTATTTATGTAATAGACACCCACATTAAGCCCTTTGCACTGCCAGAGCAATTTAAACAGGTCTTTGTGTAAATGAAAATTAGGCCTTTATTGTAATGTATGTTTTGCTGTCTCTTGCTTTGTTTCATTTATATACACTTTCAGCTCCTTCCTTATTTTGTTTGAATAGTGATGTAAACAAATCTCACTTTGCCACCCAGCTGATTTTCTGCTGCCTGTAAATAGAGGGGATAACTAGTCCAGTTTTACCCTTCTGTGACAGATGTTGTTACAAGGCAAGCTGCACCTCTGCTCCCTTTCTGAGTGTACCCCTCAGGTATCAAGCCTCATGTCTTTACCTCTCCTGGGGTGGAATTCTGCAAGTCTCAGATTCTTAGAGTGGGCCCTGAGCTATAGTACTATATTCTGGCACCAGCAGTTCTTCTCTTCAGGAGTCTGTGACAGTAGTGAATACAGTGACAAAACAGCCTTCTGAAACCAAAGTATTGTTTATTTCCACAGTAGAAACTAAGCATTACATGGAAAGGGATTTGAAAACAATAGTCTAGATATGTCTGTCTTACCTAAAGGCTTATCAGCCCCTAATGGTAACCTAGGCAGGCCTAACTTCTTCAGAGACCCCAACAAGTCCTTTTTCTGTCCTGGGTTTCTCTCAACAACCGTAAGTGTTTGCAGAGAAATGGTTTATCTTGAACCATTCGTTTTCCTTCATTCCTGTTTTACTTTACATCACCCTATTACCCTAAACCAATATATTCATTCAGTAAATAGTGCAATAACCAGGTCAATATATATGATATAATTCCTTAATTAGTGCAGAGCAGCTCCACTTCCGTCATGAGACATTTAATTAAAAAAGGAAGTGGAAGTGGAGAGATATCATGGAGCTCCATTCTGTGCTTAAAAAATAACAAAAAGCTGAGTGGTGGTGGCAACGTATACAGAGCAAAGGAAACCCTCTGAGTTATGGGCAGATCCATCACTAGCAGCAGTTTTCATGATAATTAACATTACTTTTAGGGTGGGAGAGAACAATGCTATCTACATAACACTAAAATGTGAGACAAAGAGAACAGATGCATTGTGTACATGTACAACTCAAGTCATCCAACTGATAAGTAATTATGTTAACAAGAAAGCAACAATACAGCTGCCTGTTAGAAAAGATTGATATATGTAATGATATGTTACAAAGGCTACTGCAGCAAAGTACTGCTATAAACTGTTCTGCTAAATAGAGGTCAAGCAGAGTCACTTCATGTTGCTCCTGCTGACACATGGCTATCCTGTGTGATTAGTAATCATTGAATACTGATTTTATGTGCTAGAATAGAAGGGCTGGCTTAAATCTAAAAACATATTTTTGTTTTAAATGTGTTGTGTGAATTGTAATGCTTGCAAAAGGAGCTGACCTGATGTCTCTAGAGACCAGTCTTCTCTTTTTCTGCAGGACATGCACAGACAGGCAGCAGCAAGTGCAAACTTTGACAGACTGCTCAAAAATGCCTCCTAAGATGACTTAGAAGAAGTGCTTATAGAGGCAAAAGCAGTTCATTTTTCTATAGCTGAACCTCCAGTGGTGATCCCAACTGAGGAAATTGTAAGCAGAAAGAGAAGCTAAAGTTCTCAAGTAAAATATAATTATCTACCTCATCTTAAGGGTCTGATCTAATGCCCATTGAAATAATTTAAAATACTCCCATTCACTTCAGTAGGTATTGGACCTGACCCTACCAGCAGAAGAGAGAAATTCACCCATGGACTTTCCATGATTTCCTCAGACCTTTAAATCAGGCCTTCTCCAAAGTGCTGCCCCTTATAGAGACTCTTCAGGCCCTTTTTTTAGATCTGAGCAAAAGCAACAACACCACTGAGCCAAAAGCAAAGCACAAACTGCTTTGGCTGCAGATAACCTCCCGTGGAATGGTAACAGTTTCAGACTGTCACTAAGCAAGCTCTCTATTCTAGAACTTAGCCACCCAAACATCTATAAGATACCTTTGTGGTGATTTACTGCAGTGATGCCTGCAAATGGCTGCAGAGACCAGTTTTATATACAGCACAGTTCTGTTTTATATAGTCTTTCATAATCACATGCTTTACAAAATAATACAATGTCTGTATAGGCACAGGCAACTGTTATATACTCAGCAATAGCTCATACATACCCTTGGCCATAAAAACCTCTTCTACTGAAAGAGTAAACTTTCCTCAGGATACCAGTTATTGCAATTTTTTAATAAATAGAAGTGCCAAGTGGTCATTAAAGCCATAAATCACCCCAGTTTCTTGAATATCTCATCCAGAGAATGGTACCTTTACTGCAACACCCTCTCTATTGCACTACAGCAGCAGATATAGATATAAATCTAAATTCTAGTGTGGCACTTGAACTCAGAGGCTGGCGCTATCCATTGGTCACTTGGTTAGTGTACATTGACTCTGCAAGGGAGGAGTGGTTATCTGGCTTTCTGACATTCAGCAATGCCTAATGGCTTCCACCTTTCACAGTAATACATTGTATTTCTAATAATGTAGAGTGAGAGTTTCAACAGTGCCAAAGAATGTTAGGCACTCAACTTCCAGTGACTTGAGAGCTGGACCACTAACTTCCATAGGCACTTTTGAAAGCGCCTTCTATTCAGAGCTTTACGCACGAATGAATTAAGCCTCACAACACCTTTGTGAGATAAGTATTTATTTATTATCCTCTTTTGACAGATGAGGACACTGAGCCACGGTGAGTCAGCGGAAGAGACAGAAATCCCCTGACTCTCACTGCTGTGCTTCAACCACTGGATTGGGTGGGCCCCTTCTGTGCTTTAATCCCTCCTTCCTTTCATTTACTATGTAGACAGGGCGGCCCAGAGGGGGGGTCAAGTGGGGCAATTTGCCCCAAACCCCACAGGGTTGCCCCCTGAGAATATAGTATTCTATAGTATTGCAACTTTTTTTTATGGAAGAGGCCCCGGGCCCCCTGAATCCTCTGGGCAGCCCTGTATGTAGATGCCTTCCAAATTTAACTACTACAGTTTTATACCAATGTATCCAGCAGACACCAGAGGGACTGTTCCATGCCTTTTTGATTTCAGCACACAGCCAGCTACTTGCTTATCCTCTGGATAACTAGACCTGGTTCGGGGTTACTTTGTGTCTTCAGCAAAGATATAATGCAGGTGGCAGATTGTTGTTGTTTTGTTGTGGCGAACCTATGGGGAAAGATTCTTTGCAAAGCACTGAACGCTAAAAAAAAAAGTATTTAACCTGAAATAGTACATAGCCAATGGCTGAAGAATTACATTCCCTCAAATCTGGGTTTATTATAAGTAGTAACTGGTCCAGGAACCCTTGTAAAAACGCATACAGGGAGCTCTAGGAAAAAGTGGCTTGCATAGAGCAGTTTGGCGCGGTGACAGAGGGGGGAGGATCATGCGCACAGACCGGGGAAGCGTCAGGACTGGAGAGAGAGACAGCAGCGTTTGCAGTTTCCCTATTTCAGCAGGAGGAGGAAGGACCCTGAGAAGATTGGAGGGTGCAGGCGAGAGAGAAGGAGGGATGGGAATGAGATGGGGGGTAGCCGTTGGAGTCTGATGAATGATGGTTTGTGAGCTAAGGGAAAAGAAAAGAAGGAACCTGGAAAATAGTCATTTGCATCGGACCAAAGAAAAAGCGAGTCGATTTTTCGGGCTGCAAAATAACTTGAGCTGCATCAAGCTGATCCAGAGAGAGGGGAGAGCGGCAGGGGAAGGAGGAGAAGACTGCCACTAAGGGATTTGCCTTCATTTTATTGAAACAAGCCAGTGCTTAAAAGAAACAGACGAGGGTGGGGGCTGAGGAGGGGCAGGCGCGCGGGGGAGGGGGGGGGTCTAAAGAAGAAAAGTGTGAGGCTTGTGGTTGGGGAGCGGCAGAAGTGATGAGAAAACAAACGGCAAGGCTGGGGGAGGCTGCTCGTGCTGCTGCGCTCTGCCGAGAGGCTCGCTGCCGCTGCTGCTATTCCTGTGGGTGGACAGGATTAAAGAGCCTCAAGTGCCCGACCCCCCCAGGGCTGCGGCTGCTGCTTCCTCTGCCTGGACCATGGAGACTTTAAATGGCACCAGCCCAAGTGATAACCTCAAGCAACAGCAGCAGGGCCACCACCACCCCCACGCTGAGAAGAAGAGACTGAACCGAGCCCCTTCCCCGGCCAGACCCTTCCTCAAGGATCTCCACGGCCGGGCATCGTCTGCCAAGCCCCCGCCGGTGCCGCCCAAATCCCCCAGCCTCTCGGGCAAGTCGCCGCAGCAGCCGGGCCCCCCGCCTCAATCCGCCGGGCTCCTGGCCACCCAGAGCCGCCTCTCCAGGCGCAGCGGCTCCCAGGGCGCGAAGGCAGCGGCAGCAGCCGGGACAGGCGGCCGAGCGGGCAGCGCCAAAGCCTCCCTGTGGAGCAAGAAGGCGGCCCGAGCCCAGGAGCAAGGGGGCGGCAAGGCCGGGGCCAGACAGGCCGGGGGGGAACCGGGCCACCCGCCCGGCAAAGGCAGGAAGGGGAAGAGAGGCGCCCCCCCGCAGCCGGGGGGCTCTCTGGCATCAGCCGCCGGGCCCGGGCTGGGCAGCGGCCATGTGGCCGTGGTGGCTCCGGCCAGGCTCAGCCACACGGACAGCAGCTCCGACCTGTCCGACTGTCCCTCCGAGCCGCTCTCCGATGAGCAGCGACCGGCCCAGGCCGCCAGCAGCGACGCCGAGTCCGGCACCGGCTCCAGCGACCGGGAGCAGCCGCCTGCCCCGGGCCGAGCGGGCACCCCGGTGCCTGGGGCCAGCCACCCGCTGGGCGCCCAGCCTTCCCCGGAGAGCCCCGCCGGCCAAGGGGCGGCGCAGCCAGCTCCGCCCTGTAGCCCGCAGCCCGCCTCGCCCGCCCCCGCGGCGCGCAAAGGCAGCGCGCCCGGGGAAGAAGAGGCGAGCTGGGGGCGAGCCGCCGAGAACATGCGGCTGGGCAGCAAAGCGCCCGCCCCCTGCCAGCCGCCGGCGGAGGAGGAGGAGCTGCTGCGGGAGATCGAGGAGCTGCGCTCGGAAAATGATTATCTCAAGGTAAACAGCGCCGAGGGGAGGAGCCAGCGGGTGGGCGCATCCCCCCAGCCCAGGGAGGCGGTGGGGCACCTTCCTCCTCCGGGGACCTGGGGCTGAGCACGTGCGGGTGGTTGGGTGGAGCTGGAGCTGGTGTGGTTGGAGGGGTGATGGTCTGTGCGTGCATCGGGGGTAGATGGCAATTGCTGGGTTCTTTCCCTCTCCAGGTAAACGGGGTGGGGGTTGTGCTCGTGGTGTAGAGGGATCATGCTGGGGGATGCGTGAATGGGCGAAGGGCTATGTTCATTGAGTATGGATGTGACTCAATTGTTGGGCACTTCCCCGTCAACTATTTGACAGTGCAGTAAAACTGGCACTTAGGGCTCCAGTGACTCTAACGGTTGTGATCCTTGGTCTCCAGTACAAGGCATTGTAGTAGGCTGGATGAAACTTTTGGAAGAAGAGGGGTGTTGACGGCTCTATTTTGATTCTTAAAAAATATAGTCTTCCATAAAAGGTCTGCTGTACTGGGATATCTGCTGAAAGGAATCCAGTACATTTCTCTAAGCCAGTGTGTGGCAACAGAAGCAATAAGGGTTGGATTCTTTAATTAAAATGCCGTAATTGTGTCAGTCTAAATTCAGAAGCTGTTATTCTGAAACCGAACTAAAGTTAGCATCTCTTGGGAGTAAATCGCCCACCAAAATCAGTGTTCAAATTTTGCATGTTATATTCACCAAAACTGTGTAAAATAAATATGGACACACAGTATAAGTACATGACCATTTGACCTTTTGACAGCAGTGTGAAGATCTCCCAGGAAGTAGTGCCATGGCAAAGCTAAAAAGGGCAGATACAGGATCACATGCATTAGTTCCTTTTCTCTATAAAAGCCTGATTTGTGAAGTCTCTGAATGCATATAAATCCAGTGCAGTGTGCACTGTAAGGCTGTTATGGTTAGCCGGTGTGTGATATTTCAACAATCCCTAAACTTTCTTTCTATCCAAAGCATTATTATGCTTTCTCTGTTGAATACACACGAAATATCTTCCACAGTTTAGCTTTTCTTTAAACTTTTTTTTTCTCACTTGAAATGGAAACAATGACTTAGTGTTATACTATCCATTGTTATATTACTTTATCATAGCAAACCCAAGTCATTAATTGTGAAGTACTAACAGGTTCTGGCTGAGATCAAGATCAACAACTAAAGGCATATTTACACTATTATCCTAGTGTAAAAATACACTTTTCTGTATTAATTCTGCCTCCTCTCACTTATGTATGTATTCTATCCCCTTTAATTGGGACTGCTACTGGCTGAACTGGTCCGCTGGAACCTTTAACTGGACATGTACATATGTATGATCTTTTGGTATGGCAAAGAGATTACATTCATAAAGCTCTATAAATAAAATAAACTGAGCTAACTGGGTAATCACACATACCGTACACTGGTTCTTGGATACAATCTTTGTTCTCTGGTTTTGCAAAAGCCTCATCCTGCAGGCTTTACTCAAACAAAACTGCCATTGAAGCCAGTAGGAGTTTTATCTGAGTAAGGACTGCACCAGAACAGAGCCCAAAGAACAGGTGATTTGGGTAACCCTGAAGGAGAGAAGGATGATACATTAGCAGAAAGAGGGACAGGAATTATGAAAATCTAGTGATTTGAGTAAGGACAAACCCACACTTAAAACTCTGCATTGGTACAAATGCACTGATGCAGTTGCCAGGGCCAGCTCCAGGCACCAGCCGAGCAAGTTTGTGCTTGGGGCGGCAGATTCTATGGGGCGGCGGCGGCGCAGAGGAGGGGAGCGCCCTGCTGGCAGCGGGCTGCATGCTCCGTCTGTCCTAGCCAGTGCCAGGTCTGTAGCAAGCCCGGCAGGGCAGCCCACGTATTTCCCTCCCCGCCGACCGGAGCGGAGCGGAGCCTTCCCGGCAGGCAGCGCAGCGGTCGGGGCCGTGAGGCGAGCGCCCCGCTGAAGCCCTGGCTGCTCCCCTTTTCTCTCTCCCCCCCGCTCTTCCTCCTTCCCCCCTGCTAGCTGGGGCACGTCTGCAGTGCAGGGAGTTCCCCTGCACCCTGGCTCCGGCCGCCCCGCAGGTTTTTTTTTTTTCCTCCTTGCTTTTCCGCTCCGGCCGCGGCGCCGGGTTTTTTTTTTTTTTTTTTTTCTGCTTTGCCGCTCCGGCCGCACTGCAGGTATTTTTTTTTTTTTTTCTTTTGGGGCC